TGTATATATATATATATATATATATATATATACACACACACAAACACGTAATAGAAACTTGATATTAATTTCATAGCTTACCTTTCCTTTGTATTATAATCCTGAGTAGTGGTTTTGCAGCTGAAACTGCTCGCACAAAGTTGTCATCATTGTTGATCGGTAGCAGATCACCGTGAATAGGATCAGAATAGCAAATCGTAAATGGCAGATCATATAATTTATGTAACTGCTCAATCTGTTTATAAAACTCTTCATACTTTGTCAGCTTACTGCGTTCCACAGAAAATCTTCGAAACTCTGCCTCAAACTGTTGAACAATGATTATACAAAGGTTAGCTACATAGGAACAGTTCACTTTCAATTTCTTACGTTACTGCCAAAATAATTGCAAGCACTAAATGTTTAATATGATGTAGCTGCTCAATTTTTCAGTCAATATGATTCTTAAGGCCACTAGTGATGATTCAAAGAAAGAAATGATTCTTTTTCTGCTACAAATCTCCATTAACATTCTTCTCAATATGGACTTGCCACTTCCTGAAGCACACAGATCAATGACATGCAATACTAAAACTCTGTGTTACATAATTCAAAACCAAAGTGACAATTTAAGTAACCTATCAATACCTAATTAACTGTTTACATATTAATACGAGGAACTCACACCATCAGTTTCTAGACTCAGGGACAGGTTCCAAAAAGTGTCCTTTTACATTATTGTTAGTTCAAAATTCTGGTATGAGAAAAGATTTCTGCTTTCAATTAGTGAGTCAGGATCCAACGTTAACATACATTTAAGTTCCCTTATCCTACTTGCATTCACAGTATATGTACAAACTACACCCAGGCTTGTTATTTCAAGTGTTGGAGTTCAAAAACGGAGAAGCTCCTGTGTAGAATTATAAGCAATTTTTTGTTTAATCAGGGTCATTTTATTAGTTTAGGCTTTAGTGTAATTTTTTTCTTCTATATAATCATTGAGTAACAAATTAACTTTCATTTTTGAAAGACATGAAACTAACTTTTAATCTATGAAGTACTAATCCAATAAGCAGTAATTTCTCAACAAGCTTGTTAGGAATACAATAATGATTTCACAGTTTACTTATATAAAAGTCTTCACTAGCTCCTTCATAAAAACAAAAAGGGAACTTTTAAAAACACATTTTGTTCTCTATGCCTTGCTCCCTCTAAAATAGACTAACATTGGTTCTGTGGAATATAATTACATCTCATCTTTTTCATGTTAAAAAAAAGTTGTTAAATAAATATTCATGTGTGTTTATCTCACTATCTGATGGAAGATCAATTCTCTCAAGGTGATTCAAAGTTGAATATATATATATATTAAGAGAAATCTTATATAGTAATTGATTTTATACATAAAGTTTATGATGATTTATATTTACCTTTCCTGATTCATAAAAGTATTCCAGAAGATACTTTTCCCATAAAATCATTTCAACCGATAGTCAGTTTTATGTATAATAAACCTATAGGACCTCTTCTCCTTAACTATAAAAAATTAATTGAAGAATTTAATCAAATAGAAGTTGACAACTTACCTTGTAACTGTAATAATAGTGATTTTAAAGACGTCTTTCATAATCATAGTTACAGGGAATTTAGAAGTTGTCAAAGATAGAATTACAATCAATATTAAAGAAAGGTACTAAATATAGAATTTTAAAACTCGCAAAAAAAATGTGAAATCTTAAAAGACTTAGAAAAATATTGATGAGTATATTCTTAAAATAAGCAAACAATCCTATTATCTACCATGTTTCGTTTTGAATGGGAATTATATTTCATTAATTCCATAAAAAATCGATTAATAACTTTAAACTTCTCATTATAAATTAGATATTTCTTTCAATGACTTTAAATATAAATTAAAAAACAATTCGTTATTACCCTGATTGATAAAGCTGGCTGTAATTTTGGTTTTGTGTGTAAAAAATTATACGCACAAATTTTACTTAATGAAATTAATACCACAAGTACTTTTACTGAAAGTACTTTAAAGAAAAATAATGTTATTACTAATTTAAAGGAGGCTATTAAAAAAATAGAATATCCATACAGATTATTCTTGTATGAATTTGCCATTTTTTATATGCAATTCCAAAAGGTATGCTCTTTACCCAGAACTGAATATTGATATCAAGGGTAGAATAACGGAATTAAAGGTTCTTGGTTCCCATATCCCACATTGGTAGCTAGGGCAATTGGACCACAATGTGATATATAGATATACTTTATTTTGGATCCTAACCTGTAACCATAGAGTGATGCGTTCCGAACCACCAGAATTACAAAAAGAAAATAGGCAACACTGAAGTGGAAGAACTTTCTCTTCCACCTGCCTTACTCAACCAAAGGAACAGAACTCATCTGGTCTGGAATTATGAACATTCATCCTTACTCTCCAACCTTGTGAGCAAGGAGCACTCCACTTGCCCCCAGATTTATGGAGAGGACATGGAACATTGTGTTCATTCAAGGACCTAGGATAGGACCATTTCATGTTTGGAATTAGGAGATGATAATGGATCTCTATCCATGAACAATAAATAATTGGACATTATTCATATACTCCAACCAGATAGTTGTAGAATCAAATCTGAACCGGTATTACAAAGTAGGCTCCCATGGAGGCTGGTGCCACTACTACAGACATCTGCGAAATACATCCAGGGACCCGGGTAGAAGAGCCCCCAGCTTTGCTGTCTCTTCCAAGAGTAGAGGAACACAATCAAACACTCTGGAGGAAAAATATCTGTCCACCACCCCAGTGAATGGAAACTGGATGTGGTAAGGACTCCCTAGCTCCATTACTAGAATGGGGGGGGGGGGGGGTTAACGTGCATTGGGGAGTCCTAAGGAACAGTGCTCTGGAAACAGTAAAATAAGTGAACCAAGTTCCCCAAATTTTTAAAAGCAACCTGACCCTGATTTAGTTAATGATTGACAGGGACAGGCAGGATTCCCTCTAGCTTTACTCATGATAGTCCATGAGAATATATCATAATACCATCCAGAAAGCACCTAGATGGTCTTATGAAACCCCTAATTTCTACAGAGCCTGTTGCAACCAGTAGGAAAGATAGTGAAATTGGTTGCTAGTGGAGAATTATAATGACAAAAGCACACCTGTCTGGACAACCTTTGCCACAGAGTGGGATTAAGATAAAAAGTAAAGAAACCCTGAAAAGAAAAGAGAACATATGATGGAGAAAATTACTCAACCCCTCATTAAAATCTAGCAGATATAGTCAAAAACCTTCAGAAGAGGAAACTGCTAGACCATGCAAGCAAGGGAGGAAAAGATTAGGAGAAGTCCACATACCAGCCCACACAGTGTTTTTCAGAGGGCAATTCAAACAGACAGCCAATGACATAGATACGTGACAAAGGTTGGATGGATAATGGAGGTGGAGATGTAAATTGAATGTCCAATCCTGACTCCAGAACATGGAGTACCCATGGATTCGTAGTGAAGGAAATCCAGCTGTTGAGAAAATGATGTAATGTCCTCCCAAAGGTACATGGTAGTCACCGATGCCGTTAGCGCCAATCCATGAAGATAAGGACGGATTCTATTACGGGAAACAATAGAACAAGGGACTGAAGTCAGGGATCAGGAAAAATGACAGGAATGCACACCCAAACTACAAGCTGGAGCCGATGAAAGACAAGAGGCCAGGCCAACAATGATAATGAAGAATGTAAACGGGCAGCATCTATCCATGATTCCAAGGTCTCTGGAACTCCTGCAAACAAGGGACAAAGAAAAGGGACCTCCCATAATTCCCAGGGTACAGTACAAGGCAGATGAACACCCTCCATCAAGGCATCTCTACCCAACAAGTCCCAGCAACAAACAAGCCAGGAAACTAAGGAAAGAACTGAAGCCGACAATCTGACCACAGTAGTCATCAACACATGTCCCATCTCATCCTCAAACTGGTGAAGAGTACATTAATAGGCTTCAGACAAAAGTTGGAGCAAAGATAAATCTCTCAGAACTGTCATGAGAGTCAGACGATTCAAGAAATTGTGATCTGTTTAACTCTTTAAGCACTGGCTCTGTCTCTGGGACCAACCTCATAACCATTTTGTGCTTGTTATGGTTTTCATGCTACAACTTTTTAATTACTAAGCGAATGTTAACGAAATTTGGCAGATTATTAGTAAACATTACAATGCTTTCATACACAAAATATAAATTTTTTCTATTAAGTCTTAAGGTTTGTAAAGCAATGTTTTTCTCATGTCTTTATTTTCTTTTCACATGTTGCCTATCCAACATACAAAGTAATTTTCATTTTAAGAAAAAAAAACACATTTGTGCATAACAAAATTATCAAATTTCTCATGCAAAGTCTTTATAATGTCCAGATAGTTATCAAACATTTAAAACAAAAATAAACTTTATATTTTATCTGTTTTTTCAGTGACAAATTTCTGTACGGGTTTGCTCGATTCGACCAATCTCACAACCATGTTAAAAAAATTCAGAAATAAAGTTATGCATTTTTTGTTCTAGAATGACTACAGATTATAACAAAAACACTCATGTTACCTTATCCAATAATATAAAACTGACCTTCAGTCTTTACAAAGTGACCTGTCTTGGCTGTGTTTTAGTAGACTAGTATTTTTGTAAAATACAGTCACATTTCAATTATTATACATTATGTGTAAATAGATTATTGCTATTTAGAAATAAGTTCTTAAACTTATTTTTCTTTAAACATAGAACAGTAAATAAGAAGTAAAGCACAGAATTATCTCTTCTAGTTACAACCTTAGTATTCAGTTGCTGCTTAACATAGGTTGCTAAGCCTTTTAAAACTTTGCATATGGAGGATATGAAACGAAATATACAGTTGAATAGCCAAAAAATCATAAATTACTACATCAATACCACAGAATTCCACTATAATTTATCGAGCTTAGTAACTAAGGTGTATTTCAGTCTAAAAAAAAATATTAAATTTTGAGCAGACTAAAGACACAACCTACCTCCTCGAAATCTTGGTTTGAAAGAAAGAGATGGCATCCAAACATATCAAAATGGCTGAGGAAGCCACTAGGTGGACATTCTGAGCTTTCGATTGGTTATTCATGTCATATATAGAAGTGCATATGAGGGAGCATTTCCAAAAATGAAAAGAGATGGGCAGGGTGCCACTGTGTTTAATTTATTACATAAGCAATATCTTAGCAAATTGAAAAGACAAGAGGCTCTTATTTTATATTCTAGCTTGTCAGTATCAGAACTGGACATCACAAACATCTAATATGAAACAGTACTGTATTCAACATACCATGTGCCACACAAAAATTGATGTTTAACTGTTTTTTTAATATTTACTTTTAAATTAAGAAATTTGAATTATAATATACAGTTTGATACCAAACTTATTGACATAAATCCATGAAATAGTTGTTCAATAAAATTTTAAATGCAAGTCAACAAACAAGATAACATGGGCTTTCATCTGTGACCCGTCTGGAAAGGGTTAATACAATACCAATTTATTTTCAATTTGTAAACCAAAAAATGAAAAAATTTTGTTATTGTTTTCAATTTCTGAAAAACAAAACTAATTTAGCAGCAATAATTTTCACTCAAATTTGGAAACAAATGATTCAACTAATTTTCCTTACTACATTTTCTTAAAAAAAATAGCAAAAGATGACTGTAGCCCAATTAATATATTTAATAATTAATATTGCCACAATGTAAGGATCTATATAAAACATTAGCTACCCTTCAAGAAGGTCAAAGGATTGTATTTGATGAAAATCCAGAAAAAGAATATTATATGCGACCGTGTCTCACTATTAGAGATGAAATGTTGTACAGAAATAAATATATTGTCCAGGTTTCATATTACAAATTTTAATATTTATCTATCTTAATGAAGTTTGGTAAGCTTTTGGTAAACATTATAAATCTTTTACACAGTGTTGACTGCTCCAAATGCACAGTTATTATTATCATTTTAAGATTAAAAATACTTTATTCATACTTTATTCAATTTCATTTGTGTAACCTCTAAAACCTTTTAAATAAATAAACTTTTTTACCAATTAAACTTTCTATTTTATCTGTTCTTTTCTCTCCCCTAACTCTACATGGACTCAGTCTGACAGCAACTTTGTATCCACCATAAAAAAAATTAAATAAACCTAAATTACCCCTTTATTACTTTCTAGAATAACCCCAAACTGCAACAGGAAAATACAATTGTTTCTCCAAAGTAGCTTAAAACTCATAAAAGTTTACACAAGTTTCTACCTAACTTTATTGCCCTTTCAGCTATGTATAACTAATAATCCTGCCATACAAGTTGTAAATCACTCAGCAAATATGTTGCTCAAGTTACCTTATTGAATAATGTAATATACGAGCAACTCCTCACGAGCACACCTCATGGATTTTGTTATCACCATTAATATTTTTCATTATTTTACATAATCTAACCTAATAAGTTTCTAATTTTTACATTTGAAGTTACTTTTATAACAATTAAGTGGATGTGCAATTTTACTTATATTTTGAGAGACAAACTGCATATCCACCTCTGCCTTTGGTAAAAGCTCAAAAGTTTCAGTGAACGTCTACAAGTAAAATGAACTCGCAGTCCACGGTGGGCTTTTTTTTTAAGCTTTTACACTACACTTTTAAGGAGACTGCACTCTTCTTTTTTCTCTTGAAAACATGCAAAAATTGACTAAAAATGAGCAAAATCTCTACAAGGATTTTCAGTAGCATCCATTCTCCAAGAAAATTATTGTAAGATAGGGAAAGTGGATAAGAAATGAGGTGTAGAAGTCAAGTTGAGAAAATTGGCATAAATAGCAAATCAGTTGCATCATTTCTTGTTCAAAAAGTCCCATTTCACAGTAGAGATATGGTCAAGATGTCTACTGTCTGAATTTGGTACATTTATGTATTAAATTTAATAATACTCTTGAATTTTTTCTTCTATACTCTACATCAAGTAAGAAACATCCTAAAAATATTATTGTGAAATACTTTTCTAATTCATTATTACTGTTTACAAATAAGTTTTTAAACTAATTTTTCTTAAAACATAGAACAGTAAATAAAGAAGTATAGCAAACAATTATCTTTTATAGTTACAAACTTTGTACTCATTTGCTGTAGGTTGCTAAGCCTTATCAAATTTTGCATGTGAAAGATGTGAAACCAAATACTTTTTTTTTAGATTTTATATATACATTTTGAAATAATTAAATATCATAAATTACTATATCAGTACCACAGAATTCCACTATAAATTATCAACCTTATTAACTAAGCTGTATTTGGGTTTAAAAAACAGAGATGTTGAGCTCCCCAATGTCTTACCGTACTGCTTGGAATCTAGCATGAAAAGAAAGAGTTTGCTGCCCAAGTACTTCAAAGAGGCTGAGAAAGTCACTGG